GGAAAAAAAAAAACCCGATGAAAGGCCTTGTGATTGATTACCAATTTTGTGATGCCATTTGATTTATATATACGTGGAACATCTATGAAAATGGTATTGGAAGAGCTTCGACCAATCAAAGCCCACCCATGAATTTTGATAAAATATATTGTAATCAAACCTAGTCCATATGTGATCCTTGCTCTCCTTCAAAATTTGATGCAAAATCTCTATTCTAATTTTATCAATTTTTAAACTTTTTTATTTTTTTTAAATCATGTAATTGGGGAATCAACCAATGCCAACCCTCTTCCAACAATATTTAAGGAAATTTACAACCACTTTGCTACTAAAATTTCTCCTACTATTTGTTTCCTCTTATTAATTAAAAAATTATATCCCACATTTTTTTTAAAAATCTGTAAAAACAAGTATTAAGTATTAAAATCTTTTTTTGAAAAAAAAAAGTAGATGCACCAAGTGGGGTCAAACATACGACTTTCTGCTTAGGAAATAGACACTCTATCCATTGAGCTACATGCCAAAAAAAGGTTGATGAAAAGCCATGTGATTAGTTACCAATTTGTGATACCAACTAATTTATATATACATGGAAAATCTGTGAAAACACATGGTATTGGAGGAGCTTTGACCAATCAAAGTCCACCCGTGAATTTTGATAGATAGCACATAATTGGTTAACATGTTTATGATACTAGTTGATTGGTCACAAGTTTTTCAGATATGATGTCTTTTCGATACTGTAATCAAAACCAATCCACATGTGACCCTTGCTCTCCTTCAAAATTTGATGCAAAATCTCTATTCTAATTTTCTCAACTTCTATTTTTTTAAATCACTTAATTGAGGAATCAAACAATGCCAACCCTCTTTCAATATTTGAGGAATTTTTCAACCATTTTGCTCGTAAAATTTCTCTCACTATCTATTTTCTTGTATTAATTAAAAAATTATATCCCACCTTTTTATCCTAAAATTCCATATCCATTCCACTCATGAAACCTTCTCTATCGTGTCTCTTTTTCTTCTCCATTTTTTGATCTTTTAACATTTTTCTACAAACCTTCTCCATCATACTTTTTTTCTCCATCATGTCTCATGAAACCTACTCTGGCTTATGATCATTATAGGGTTGAGCGTAAGGGAAGCACTTACACCCAAATACTCATAGAGAGACAATTCGAGTTATTGTTAACAAGATGGGTCCTTGGACTTTTGTAGTTAAGAACCTTTTTAAGTAATCTATGGATGAGAAATACTGTAGTTTGAAATGTTTTAGTCAAAAAACATGGTGGTATAGATGTTTTGGCCATCAAAGTTAAGCCAATTTCAACAATATGATGATGTTTTCTCTCACCATATCCATTTTGTTGTGGAGTGTAGAGGCATGAGAGTCGATGGACAATACCATGTTGATGAAGAAAAGAATCAAGTTTCTTATATTCAAATCCACCATTAGTTTTTAATATCTTTAACTTGTGATTTAGGAGAATCTTAACTTGTGTCTTAAAAGAGATAAATATAGAAGGAACCTCACTTTTATAAGTAAGTGGGAATGTCTAGGTGAACCGACTAAAAGAATCAATCAAACTCATACAATAATGATAACTAGAATGAGAACATACAAAGGTTGGTTCCCATAAATCAAAATAAACTAGTTCAAGAGGTGAATTAGCTTTTATAAGACAACTTTTTATTAAGTTGATAGGCAATATGGAAAGACAACTTTTTATTAGAAAGCGCAGGAAGCTTATTCTTGTGCATTACGTGTTTTATTGTGTTGGGAGCAGGATGACCAAGGTGGTTTTACATGTCACCGAGGTGACTCTTATCCTATGAGGTGACAGGAGGATGGTGAATTCCAAGCTAAAGGCAAGGCCACAAGTCCACCTAAACGTGCCATGTGTCTGGTAGTTCGGAGGTTGGACTTACTCTCATCACTAGGTACTACTGAAAATTCTAGGTTATGCTCCCCATCCTAAGTCAGACTAAGCTGCAAAATCTTCAACCATAAAGAAATCAGCCATTGATCCTTCTTAATTTGTCTCTTTGGGCGTTTAGGCCCAGACCCCAATAACCTCGCAGAACTGCACCCCAATCAGATACCTAAATCACTTGAACTACTCAAAATCTGTTATGATTGAATTTTACTTAAAATGTGTTATAATTGTGTAAAAAGATACTCAAAATTATGTTGAACCCCAAACTCGACATATCTTCATTGCCCCTTGGACTGCCAAACACACCTACATGCACTCCATGTAACTAAACCTTCTTCCATCATTTAAGTTAGTCAACATTGATGAACTTTCTATTTCCCATCGCCTACTTGCACCACTAGATCCTGGCTCTTACCCTAAGGATCTATGATAATTCACTTATCGACAATTCCTCTGATATTCCATTTATCCTTTAAGGGTTGGGTGAATCCACTCCTCACATCATTGGTCGTCCACTTTCAACCATGACCTGTAATTATGCATTGGTCTAGAGGCACAATAAGCATTTGTATCTCTTGGAAACAAGATACCAGAATTGCATCTATGAGAACTATGACCTACCTTTCCATAAATGAAGCAAAAACTAAACAAATTCCCATATCTATAGAAAGCCCAAACCATTGGGATAACAAAATAACCGACTTTCAAACAAAGATAATTTCCTAGAGCTTCAACAACTCTACACCCTAAGAAAGAAGGTCCAATTTGTTGACTCTCCCCAAGGTAACTAACACAAAAGAACGGTTATGGCCTTGTGATTCTAGAACTTCATTTTTTCCCTTCTTTCCACTTAGTCAACAACAATGGTTGAATGATATGACTATTATCCCTCACATTATCATAACCTTCTTGATATCAAAACCTAAATCTATAGTAACCCCTCTGTAATGGTTGAATGAGATGACTATTCTCATTTACACCCCAACTACACTACCATACAAGCTATTTGTAATGTCATTTATGTTAGAAGGGTTAGGATCCATCATATGGATGGCTGAACCATGCTAGATGGTTGGGCGAAATTTAAAAAATTTCCTAATTCTTAAGGGAATCAAATTCTCTATGTTTTAAAAAACTGCGTTTTTCCAGATTGACCTTGAACTGAATCGGACCAGATTTGAAACAAATCAAAGAAGGAAATTTGAAACCAAACAAACCGGACCAAATTTGATACCACAAACACCGATCCCAAGGTGGAAGTTCATGCCCAAATCAGTCATAAAACCAACTTCCATTGAATATGGCATAGTGTGTACTTGAAGCTAGTTCAACAACACAGTTTTCTGGAGAACTGAGACCCAACTGCTTGGATCGAACTTAGGATGATGAGCCTGATATTCCCTAAATTTTTCTTGCAAAAATCAGAGAAAAACTAATCTAAATTAGTCATTGAAAGATGATGTTGAATTGGGAAAAAACTAGGAGACAAAAGGGTACAAAGAGAACTAGAAACTGCAAAAATATGAAGTTGTCATGGACTGGTCCGCCCCCTCCTCTTTTATAATCTTTTATGGAGCTATCTTATAATCTAATTAGGAGATAATCCAGATCTAAATTAGATTTGGAATCTAATTAAAGATATACCTTATCTTCTTATAAGATTAGGTGCTTCATACCTAGATTCGCCCATTGTCAATGTGACAGCTTAATTAATCATATTAATTATGGGCCTTAGGCCCATCGGCTATAAGGCTCACGACCTAAGGGTGTTGCATGGCCAACTTAGGCCTAATTTGTATGGTGTGGGACTCCACAATGACCTCACATAAGTTCACATGGGTTCGGCCCAACCTCTATGAAATGGCTTGGCCGAATTCACTGTTAAACACAGTGAACCCTTGAGCATATCACTATTGGCTTAATATGGGCCCAACATTTACACTTAAATGATCATTGAATTCAACCATCCTATGAAAACCCAACGATAATGGACTTAAGTAAGATAAAGCCCATCAGGTAATCAACCTTTAATGGTCTCTTATACTTAACCTCTCGACTCATAATAATCAATCATTTATTGACAGTGAATGACCCTTCCCCTGGCTGCAAGGTACAATGTCACACTTTTTACTTATAAGTTCATCACTTCTTAGAAGTTTCCTTTCGCACCGAGGTCGCGTTGATTCCATTTTGGGAACTTGCATCCCACATGTTTTCCTTCCCATCCCTTCGAACAAGCGCTAGAAAAACATAATCTTATGGGAATATTCCCATTTCCCCTTTCCCCATGTAGCAACCAGAAATACCGGGTATTTTATCATTTTTTTCTTTATATTTTTGTTAATTTAACTTAAGGGTAAATGTGATAATTCATCTTTTCCATTAGGATTTAACGAAAATGCCAATTGTAGGAAAACTTAAGGGTACCTACAAAAAATAAGGACATACTTAGTCAATTTCATAAAACTCAAGGGTGATTTAAAAGATTTACCCTCTTATGTTTTTCCGATAATAAGTAGGGGATATTCTCAATAAAAGCTGAGATGTGCATGTGGGGCATTTTTGGGGCGCGTTCTGCTGGGGCAGATGTGAACTCGATGTTTCCCTTCTACATTGTAAATGATAATACCCAAACGTTCCTATGGAAAATGTGATTAACATGTTAATATTTGATTTGGATTTCTTGTGATTAATTAGAAATAAAAACATTATTTAATGTGATTAAACTATTAATCCGAATTTGTTGTGAGTTTTTTGTTTTTTTTTTTCTGTGGTATTAGATTTTTTTTACAATAAATATTATTATTGTTATTTGATTATTACGATATCCGAAAAATACCCAAACCGAATAAGACCCGAATCGGCTCGAAATTGACAGCACAGTCAGCACTAGAGCAGGTCCCAAGCTCCGGATCACAATCCGTGTTCTCCAAAGGAAACAAATCTTGACCGCTAGTTCCATTTCAAATCCAACGGTCTGAGGCACTTTCGCCACATTCACAAAAATTTAAAAAATTTCACTTCGCGCCTATATAACGATGCTCTTGTGCGATCCTCTGCATCACTCATTTCTCTATCGCTCTCCCAAATTTCAATCTCTTACAGAGTCCTTAATTCCTTCACATCTCTCTTTCTCTTCCTCCGTTTTTCCTAGGAAATGGCAAGAACCAAGCAAACTGCAAGGAAATCGACCGGAGGTAAGGCCCCCAGGAAGCAACTGGCGACCAAGGCGGCCAGGAAGTCGGCTCCGGCGACCGGTGGAGTGAAGAAACCCCACAGGTTCAGGCCTGGGACGGTGGCTCTGAGAGAAATCAGGAAGTATCAGAAGAGTACCGAGCTTTTGATTCGAAAGCTTCCATTCCAGAGGCTCGTTCGCGAGATCGCTCAGGACTTCAAGACCGACCTCAGGTTCCAGAGCAGCGCGGTTGCTGCCTTGCAGGAGGCCGCCGAGGCTTATCTGGTTGGCTTGTTTGAAGACACCAACCTCTGTGCAATTCACGCAAAGAGGGTAACTATTATGCCCAAGGACATTCAGCTTGCACGAAGAATCAGAGGAGAGAGGGCTTGATCTATTCTTTAGTCTCTTTCTCTCTAACATCCGCCTCTCCATTCTGTTCTGTACTAAGTATTTGTTCAGTTGTTTCTCTTAGGCTTACAGAGTATGTTTCAATCAATGTTTGGTTCATGTTCAAGTTGTAAAACCCTTAATTGTGATCACTGATCTGATGTAAATTTTCCTTTTGGAAATGAAACCCAATTAAGCTAAAATGAGAAGTGTCTGGTTTTCATCAGTTATTCATTCCTACGGAAAGAGGTTTATTAGGGCCCTGGCTGGAGAATGAAACCTCAACAATAGGTAATTAAAGCAGAACCCCAGAATTTCCATGGTGCAGAATGATAAGAAGCTGTAGTTTTTTTCTTGTTGTTGTTGTCTGTGTAACTGGACTCTGGAGCCAAGCTGATTTACTAATCGGATATTGGGGATTCTTGAAACATGGAGACAGAAGCCAAGATGGGGCAAATGAATATGAAGCATCATCTCAGCCAAATGCTTGATTCTCTGTAAAGCTTTACAATCAAGGGTTCCATTTCAAGATCCATCTTTTACTGTTCTGGAGTTCACAGGCTTCAAGTGTGGATTGTATACTCTTTGTCATGGGTCTTGTTTACTTTCTCGTCAAACACAAACTCCATTGCAGTTTGCAGAGATTCAACATTAATTTTCAATGCTGGGGCGGGGAATTCAGTTGGGTCAAGTGTTTTGTTTTCCCCGCAAATGGGATGGGATGTCGTGGTTGGATCATCACATCACAAGGATTGGAGTATTGATTTCTGATCTTTCAGATGAATCCAAGGATAGACGATTTGGTTTGGACGGGGTTCGTCGATCGCAGACGCCGGAGATGCATATTTTGCCGAATTTGCATCGTCCGGTCGATGGGTTATTCTTGTTTCTTGATCTGCAGAATTAATGTTTACATATTAGATATATATCTGAAGACAATACAACAACTCAAGTTGAGATGGCCGAGTTGGTCTAAGGCGCCAGATTAAGGTTCTGGTCCGAAAGGGCGTGGGTTCAAATCCCACTCTCAACAAGCAATTTTTTCATTTACAAAGAGCCCATGCTACAAGGATTGTGGGCCCAATCTCAAAGTGATTTTTTGGTTAAATTACAAAAAACCCCCTGTATTTTAATCTGCCATTAAGACCCCTGAACTTTCTTTCGTTAATGCTTCGTCAGTTATCTTTGAAAAAGATTTTCTTCTGATTATTTAAAATTTTCTAAATACCCAAACTACCATTTTAAAGTCCAACCGTTTAAAGTTTCTAAATGCCCAATTTCATCGTCAGTTCTTCTCTTTTTCTCTTCAGCCATTTGCTTTTTGCTTAACATCTGAAAGAAAAAGATAAACTTGACCATCTGCTTTGTGTTAAAGAAGAACAAAATAAAAGTAGTGTCTTTTCCTTTCTTTTTATTTGTTCTGCTGATTTTTTGGGACGTATTAGCCCCCCTTGTAATATATTCATAGTTATTATCAAAAAAAAAAAAAAATCAGATTACAGCTGCACGTGTTGCAGAGAGATTAGCACAAGAGGTTAGAATATACTTACCTCGTTGCAGCAGTCATATCTAATCTAGCAATCACTTCCATGGTTTTGTGGCTGTAATTTATCACAAATTTTGTGGTTGTAATTTTATCATTATCATTTCTATTATTCCCACCTGATTTGGCACTGTTTTCTTAGAAACATTGCTGCTGATGTTTGAGTGGGAAGCATCATTTTCTATAAAAATGGTGTTTTTTTTGTTTGGAAACATTGCTGACATGTAAGATATTTTCTGAAGAAACAATACATTCTGTTTGGTATACCGGTGCTCCATATCTGTTTTTAGCACTGGTACCCATTATAGGAAGTTCACGTCACTGTCACAGCATGCCCTTATTGGAAGCAACAAGTTCTAATTTGAGAAAACGTCAAATTTAACATTGCTCCAAACCACACCTTCTTGATTTCCAAGGCATGGCTTGAAATACCTATTTTTTCATGGAAAAATGATTCTATACATATTGAGTTTCCTAAAATATTATTTTTTCCAACGTAGTGCTGATGTATCACCATTTTTTGGAGCAACGGCATCAATGCCAAACATACACTTTTATCTATGAGCATTGCTGTAAGTCATTGCTTCCTCCAAGAAAAAAAGAAATAAATAAAAAAATAGAACTCTAAAATGTAAATGTACAATGGATCCTTTGAAATTACAGGTGGGAATAATGGAGTTTTAAGTAAGATGGGTCATAAAGCATTATGGCATGCTTCGTTTTGAATTTAGGTGCGTGGAAGGAAGGTGGTGGTGAAAACTGAGAATGAACGTGAGTGCGAGTGTAGGAGACTAAGGCCATGGAGGAAAACATGTGGAAGGAGCAAGAAATGGAGGCGTGATTAGGCTTCCTCTTCAGAAGTTTTCTGTCCATTCTTTCTTGCCTTTGCCTTAAAATAAAGGGAAAATTCCTTATCAGTACCCTGTATTATGGCTCAAGTGACAATTTGGTCCCCAAACTTTAAAATGTGATAATCCAATACCTAATCTTTTACAATGTGACAATCTAGTACTTGCCGTTAACCAATCCATTAATCAGCTATTAAGTAACATTTGAAAAGTCAAAAAATGCCCTTCTAATGCTATCTAATTCTCTTTATCAACCATCCAAACATTGACAATAAAATGAATAGTCCCAAATTCTAGATTCTTCTAAACAATCACTAACTTTTTTGAATAGAAGAGGCTAGGATTTGGGACTATTCAATTTTTTGTCAACGTTTGAATGGTTGATAAAGAGAATTAGATGGTTTGAAGGACATTTTTGACTTTTCAAATGTCAATTAACGGTTGATTAACGGATTGGTTAACGACATGTACTAGATTGTCACATTTTGAAAGTTTGGGTACTGGATTGTCACATTGTGAAAGATTAGGTACTGGATTGTTGCATTTTAAAGTTTGGAGACCAAATTGTTATTAGAGCCAAAGTACAAGATACTGATCGAGAATTTTCCCTTTAATTTAAGGCAAAGGCAAGAAAGAGTGTTTCTGGGCATTCTGTTTCAAAGCATGTACCTTTATGGGAGTTTCTCTAGTTTTCAGTGGTGGTCAATGCCAATTACAGGAATGAACCTAAGTCTAACGTTAAACATTCATTGTATAGATTTTATCAAGTAGGAATTAATAGAATAAATTTATGCTAATCAAATCTGATATGATTAATGTCTCACCACCAACCAAGAGATATATAGGCTGTTTGAGCTCAACGTCTTCGCATCACTTTTCTTTGATGGAACACCCATCAAAGAATTCAATGACTCAAAATCTATTAGAGTTCCATTCCGACAAGACCACTGGTGAACCAACAGAAGTATTTCCCGGTGAGAAGCGAGGTATTTTGAGATGGTTAAGTTTTAAAAGAAAGGGTAAGAAAAGGAAAATAGAGAAAGCTTATTAGGGTATTTTAATAATTTAATGCTTTCTATCATCTGACCTAACGGCTGAAGCGAGGTATTTACCCTTTTTTTTTCATTATAATGAAATGTAGCCACCCCTCAAATTTACTTATGAAAAACAAAAATATAACAGAAATAAAATGCGAAGAAAATCAGATTTATGAAAATAAATGAGTTGCATTGCTGACGATGGATCCTTTACACTTGAGCCCCAACTTTGAATTTGCAAAGTGGATTATACAATCTGAATTGGGCAGAACTCCAACAAAGAGGAAATTGTCGGTATATGTGACTTCTACTCTGCCTTTTCCACAACATCTATCCTGTGAAAGAAGACTGAGCCGTTGGCAAGTATAACATCACAAATATTGACTTATTCTGCCCCTTTAGATTAAGACAAGTGTCTCAATGATCATGGTTTTATGTCACATGATCATTCAGCCCATTTTAAGCCAAACATCTTCTCGCTGACTTGGTTAAAAGGTTGAATGGATTCAATTCAGATCTAATAACCACCCTGTGAACATGTCAAATACAACTGAGATAAAACATATACTATTTTTAGTAGAAAATAAATAATAATAATAATATAATAAAATTGTAGGTGATGTTTGTTACCGTTTACGTTTATTGATGGTGTCATATAGGCGCCATCTCAGCATTTTCTCTCTTTTGCTCTTCTTTGTACATCGAAAATCTAAAAAGTGAACTTTGGTTTATGTGTATGCCAGCCGTTTGTAGAAGTTATTTTTTGAAGCTTCCACAAACAGCTAGGCGTTTATTCACTGTTATGTTGAAGTGGCACCTAGTGGCATCCAGTTGTCATAAACGGTTGCAATTATTGCATTTTTCGGTTTTACCAGCAAATAAAGTACAAACATTTATTCAATAAACATAAACGGTACCAAACATACACATAAAAATGATATTAACAAACTTTCTCCATTAATGTGTGGCTTTTCACATGGCCAGTGGATTCTCCTACAGGTTGAGGATCCCAAACCGAAGGCCTGTGCCTGTGGCCACCCATTCCAACATTTTATGTATTGACAGGCACATTTTAATCCAATTTGACCTACTTTCCCTCTCCATTAAATAGTGATTTATCTATATGAGAAAAAGGAATCACTTATTAGAGGAGTGGAAATTAAATGCCAGATTTGAAGAATTTACACTGTATTGGGCCTGTGCTTTTGGGTTAGATGCCTAGGCCCATTAACAATTTCTCAACCCGACCTTGCCCAAGTTGCATAAGGAAAAATATTGTAGACTTGAACCATTCAACCTAGAAACCGGCCACCATTCCAGTCCCATTTAATACCCGACCTGTTATGGAAAAAAAATTTGATTTGGTCAATGAACCGTTGACCTAGACGACTTGACTGTTGAATCGTCGTGCATTAACCATAAAATGATTAAATTATTTTCTTTAGAAATAAAATACCAAAAATATTAAGATCTGTGATCTGTATAATGACAAAAGAGGAATTTGAGAGAAAATAGAGAGGCAAAATTGAGATCGACTTAAGAGAGATAGTTGGGGAGAAAGAGAGACGACTGTGATGTTATAACAGCAAGTGGTGCCATCACCACCACGTCTTCTTTATTCTTCTTCTTCTTGGTTCTCAGTAGTTGTTATCAAGGTTTTCAAACCGCTATTGATCTGGATGGTTGGACTATTCAGCCTGGGAACTATTCAGGTAATCGGTTTCATTTTATCCCAAATCCGGTTTTTGGTCACAAATCATTGAAAAAGTCAATAACCTATTGATCCGGACAGTCGATCTGTCAACC